GGGCTTCTTAGATCTCTGATGTCATGAGAATAATGGGTTTCAATTTGTTTGATTCAAAATGAGATTTTCGTTTATCATGTCGTTCAAGTTTCATCAACTCTGTATTTTCATTTGATGAACTGAAATTATGAAATTCTGTTCTTTTTTAATCTAGTTGAGTCCATATTTACCTCCTTCAAGTATTGATACTCTTTTCAAATTTCAACATCAGGGGCGGAAGTCGCTCCTCCAGAGCTTCATCTTGCTAATCGTCTTGATCGTGACACAAGTGGTGTAATGATTATAACCAAGTCACACAAAGTGGCTTCTAAGCTTGTGAAGGCCTTTACTGATCACAGGATTCATAAATCATATATTGCTCTCTGCATTGGTTCAGCTCCAAAATGGGAAAGAATCACCGTTAAGTCAGGTCATGGTCGATCAAAATTTGGAGCCTGGCGTGTGTATGCTGCATCAGATGTGGGTCGATCACTACCAGGTGGGTCAATTGTTAGGGATATGGAAACTATGTTTGAAGTGTTATCAGTAAATGGACAGGGAAGCTTCAAAGAGCCTGAATTTGCAAAAGATGAGGATAATATGAATATAATTGTTGTTGAAGAAAAAGCTTTTGTAGACACTGATGCAAAGAAAGATGAGATTTTGGTCAGAGCATATCCTCGAAGTGGAAGAACGCATCAAATCCGTTTGCATTCTCAATACCTTGGAATCTCTATCAGAGGGGATGTGAAATATGAGGGTATGTATGAGTGGAAAGGGAGATCATATGATGCCTTTGAACTTCATGCAGAGAGCTTGTCTTTTGAGCATCCTATTACTGGTTCCCAAATCATGATTAAGGCACCTCTGCCTTTGTGGGCTAGCCAGGCATTGCAGCCCCTAACAGATTAAACAGCTTCCCATGTTCATTCTGGATACTTCAGGAAAGGAAACATGCAACAGAATCCAAAGGAAATAACAAGATGAGATGTTTAGGAAAAGAGAAGCACACATATTTTGCAAGAAGACTCAGTTAATATAGCCGAAAAGATTTGGCTCTTTCTTAATGATTTTGAAAATACCCAGTTAGGAGACACTTGGTTTGTCCTTTTGGTCTTAAAGATTTCATACTTTTCGTGTTCAAGTCTTTGGCCTTTTATTTCAATGGTCAGACACTCAGATCTCAAAGAAGTGAATTTTTCACATCAAATCCTGGTGCATCGCCAGCAGAGTTTCATATTCAAGGACTATTGTTGTAGTCTAGATAAAAACTGGCAAAGAAGCGGCTAGTCAACACGTGTAACGGATGAAGAAAGCCGTATCTGTAATCTGTGTCTTCATGGCTTATATTTCACCTGGAACTTTCAAGACCTGGAGCTAAATCAGGGGCAAGACAGGCCATGGCATTGTATATGTGACTGTCAATTATAATTTGTAGGTTAAATACCGTTTTGGTCTAGAGTCTTTTTTAAGTCCCTATATTGAAAAAATCTTTTTTTTTTTTCCTTAAATATTGAAATTTGGGTTTTTTTTTAATCCCTCCGTTAAGTTTTGGTCCTTAAATATTGAAATTTGGTCCTTTTTTAACCCTCTATTAAGTTTTGGTTGAGGTAACAAGTTAATTAATGAAAAAATTTATTTATTTTTACTTAAATTACGTGAAAAAATTAATTTGGTGAAAATTGATGATATGGTAAAATTTTTGATCTAATAGAATTTTAAAAATCATTTAATTACATAATTATCATTATAAATAATTTAAAGGTTATTTTGTGATTAGAGGTACTTCATTTTAATTACTAATTTACCCTTTCTTTGGCCTTTGGTTTTTTTTTTTTCTTTTTTAACCTTTGCCTTATGGAAATCAGATTTGGAAAGGCGAACCCAGGTGCTTGGGTTTGTTAGGTTTGTCTTGAACCCAGGAGTTGAGTTCGTCTCGAACCTAGATGCCAGATTTGTTGCAAACCTAGGCCCTTGGGTTTGTTGTGAACGCAAGCCCTAGGTTCGTCACAAACACAGGCCCTAGGTTCGTCATGAACCCAATCCCTAGGTTCCTCGCATTTGCTAGGTTCATTGCGAACCCAAACTCTTGGGTTCCTCTGGTGGTGCTGTGTTGCTATCGTCGGGTTCGTCACGAACGTAGGCCCCTAGGTTCCTCACGTGTTACTGTGTCACTATTATTTTTTATTTAGATCTTTGATTATGTGAAATTGTCCACAAAACCCAGATTTGTGTTGTTGTATTGTTATCCTTTTTTTGTTTAGATCTTTGATTATGTGAAATTATTAATATGGTATTTGTTTTTTCTTGATTTGGGATGTCTACATTGGAAAAGATAGAATGATGAACAAGGAGGGTTAAGGTTAATTTTGAAATTTTAGTTTTTATAAATTACATGTTATGTTTAATGTATATATGGGATGCCACATCATCATTTTTTATTTTTATATTTTCCATGTCATCATTTATACAAAGAAAATAAATTAAATAATTTTGTTAATTAACTTGTCATATCAACTAAAATTTACTAGAGAGATTAAAAAGATGTTGAATTTTAAATTTTAAGACAAAAAAAAATTTCAATATAAAAACTAAAAAAAAAAACTTTTTTCCTATAGTAGGAGGACCAAAAAAGATATTTAACCTAATTTAAACCTGAGCTATGCAGTGTCAAAGTCCTCATCTTGCACTCATGAATCCTATCTCACACTTGTCTCGATCGCTCCCATGTCAATGTAACATAGAACGTCACGTCTTTATTGCATTATTGAAAGATTTTTGTTCACATAAACGGGTTTGGTTTTAGGAAGAGGGCCCGCTACTTTAAAGTCAGAAAGTTTATCTTTGAAATGAATTAGAAGAAGAATTCAGCCAATTGCCTTGCAAGAGAAATTGGTATTTATCTTGAATAGCTAACTTTTCAAGAGCTTTGATTCAATTTCAATGTAAATTTTGTCCATTAATTCTCTGTCAAATTCCAGGGTTATATCCCCCTTTTTTTTTTTTCTTTTTTAATTTAGCCAATGTATGTTTATTCTTTTGTTAACAAGAAATATTTTTTTTTTTCCTTCAAAAGAAGGAAAAAGAGAACTCAAATACGTATGGTGGGATTGTCAAATCGGTGGGTTGGGCTGTTGATTTCTGAGCAGTTTCATCCAGTGAGACTTCTTCAACTTCTTACGCAATGCTGCTTTTTCCCAGTGGAAACGTTAAAAATCAAACAACGGTTTTGTTGGTGGGATTGGTTAGATCTCACACACACAACAACGTCACTTTGGTTTTCTAGACTCTTGCTTTCTTTATTAGTACTGCACTGCAGCTGTTTATTAGTATTGTCTTGTAACTGTAGATGAAAAAGATTATACGTGAAAAAGATTTTTGTAAAGCACTGACAAACAAAGTTTCTATTGCTTTGGATTGGTATGCACCTTTTTCAAGATAAGCAAATAGTTAAAGTTTGCAATTTTTCAAGGAGTCATTGACTCTGCTTAAGAATCAAATTAAAGGGAAGCTTCATGGTTAAGCAAATTAAAGAATCTGCAGAATAAATTCTTTTTTTTTTTTCGATATTCGAAACTTCCACACACGCACCTAAAAAATGATGAGTAAATCTCTAAAATAAAAGTTTTTATATATATAAAATCTTAAATTTAATATCTTAATTAAATTAAAATAAGTTCATTTACCACTTAATCCAACCCTGCCCTATCCGTGAATAAATTCTTAATTTGGTGGCTAGAGAATCAGTCTTTTGTATGATGGGATTACACGTGGGCTTACTTTCACAAAAAGTATGAATCCAAAGTAAAACCCATTACCTATTTTCAAAAAAAAAA